ATATATATATATATATATATATATATATATATGTGTGTGTGTGTGTGTGTGTGTGAATTATTCCGGGGATCTCGTAGTCGAGCAGTCTCGACTAGAGCATTCTTGTTTTACATAGCTTTGTTTGCATTTATACATACATACATATGTAGATAATTGTGGCGTTGTATGTGTGTACATTTGCACTTTTGAATATTTTCTTTTATCTAAGTATAAACACGGATATGTGGATATTTATTGATTCATGAATGACGTGTATATTACACATGTACATATGTATATAAACAGCACATAAATGTACATACATATATTGTAAGAAATTTATTAAACATTTGGGATATACATACTTACAAATATGTATATTTAAATATCTGTGTATCTACAAATGTATGCATTTTATAAAAACATATTGTATAAATAGTAAAGGATTTAAATATTTGTATATTTCAATTAACTTTAAGCAGTGTACAATTAGTAATTCCTATAATCATTTTTAATCAGCCCTGTTATATGTATGTACATACATATGTACATTTACTTACCGCAATAAAAATCTCCGAACCTAGGTCAATAGTTATTGATTTGGGCTTATCTAAGCCGAAATGAATAAATATTTTTGGATTTCGCATGCCAATACCAAGGAATCATATAATAGATTAATTATAGTTAGATCAAGATTCCTACGATTATATGTACATATATTTACATTTCATTACTGCATTAGATTATATAAATATACATTACATATGTATGTATATGTATAAAATAATCCGTACGACGCATTATACGAAGAATTTTAAGATTTTGGATCGAATCTCAGATCATATTATATGGAACATTTAGACTTGGGTCCAGGTTAGCATAATATTTGTAACAAATCAGCATCCTCTTCGAGGCTTAAATACGAAATGAAAGGAATAACATATGATATGAATATTCGCGAATAGTTATGTAATCGCGAATATCTACATATCCATACACGTATGCACATACAGACAAAAGTTGGCACAAAACAAATTCGCTTTACCGAAGCGGAAGGCGGCGACAAGATATTCTCACACGTGTACATACATACATACATACATATATTCGCAAAGAGAGAAGAAAAAGTCAAAATTGTTGTTTACACATATGCAATTAAATATGTATATATGTACATACAAATATACATAAATACATATATATTTGTTTTTGCGCCATTTTTGTCTAAGTATATGCTAATGTGATAATTGATAGACATCAATAAGTAACTTACCATGTTCGTAGGGAGAAAATGTACCCGCGTCGATATTAATGTATGGGTCAATTTTGATCGAAGTAACATCTAGGTTGCAGGACTTAAGGATTCTGCCGAAAGAAGAGGCTATGACACCCTTGCCAACACCACTTATAACTCCTCCCGTAACCAAAATGTATTTCATTTTATTTATTATCACTTTATGCCTATTTTATTTGAAATATTGTTGTTCTTAACTTGTATTAAGCGCAATTAGAAATATATACATTAACTTGCGCAATGCTTAACAGTATCTTGAGAGTTTGTCACTTTGAGCCTTTTATTTATAGTTGATCACATCTAATTGTCATAGTTAATAGTACTTTTATACGAAAGTATATTTTAATAAAACATCACATTTTATTAATTTCACACGTGTTTTAGTACCTTGCTATTAAAAGACTCCGTCGCAAACAGTAGTTCCGATACATTTATGTTAACTAACAGCTCTGTTGTGACGTTCCATTTTCGACATTCGCTCTGTTATCGGATTAATTGAAAGCACAATTGGTATTTTTCATGACAGCAAAGATTTTGGCAGTTGTCTAAAATCCCATCTCTGAATTTTGTTATGTCCCATGCAAATTCCTCTTTTTTTTTTTTACGAATTAATTAAATTTAATTTGTGATTTAATTACTAACGTTTGCAATAAGTTGAGCTAAGTACAGCAGGAAAGTTCCCCATACTTGGTCACAATTAGGAGTGTAATCTTTTCTGCTTGAATCGAATTGTGTTTGAATTACTAAAAGCTACTTTAAGCTTGAATTTCCTGTTATTTATTTTTCTGCTTTTGTTATATGTATATCAAATTGACTTGCTTTCCCAGAAAATAACCTCCTTACATTTTGAAACGAATTGGCGAAAGAATTTTTTTATTGAAGTTTAAGCATTTTTGAAAATAAGCATTTTAAATGCATTTAAAAATACACGATTCTATAAGTTCAGGCTTGTTTATAAATATCTTTAAATTGATAGCGTACAAAGCAATTGTGGCATCAAAATATTCTTCATTTCGTAGCTTCCTGCTGCTCAAAAGCTGGATATTGCTCCAAGACTTGTGCCCAAGTGAGTTTTGTCGTTGCCAGATCCTTGACCACACTAACAACTACATCGAGTCCAATGCGAACCTGCTTCATGGTGTTTCGATCACGTAGCGTCACTGTGTGAGGCTCCTTTAAGGTGTCAAAGTCCACAGTGATGCCGTAGGGGATAGCAATTTCGTCGGTGCGCGCATAGCGACGCCCTATGGATCCACTCGAGTCGTCCACCTTGTGGGACAGCTCCGCCTTGGTCAACGCCGAGGACAGCTGTTGAGTGTACGGCTGGAACTCAGCGTTGTTCGAAAGAGGCAATATTGAGCATTTGTACGGGGCAACAAGAGGCGGCAATGTGAAGTAACAGCGCTGCTCGTCACCTTCCCGGCATTGGAAACTATGTTCCAGCAGAGCATACATGACGCGCCCAATGCCAAAAGATGGCTCCACCACACTCGGTATAAACTCCTCGACGTGCACAGTTTTGGTAGCATGCTTCACAGCGATGCTTTCCGTTCCGAGCTCATGAGTACCGCCGTCAGGGAGGCGCAGCTTATACTGTCCACCTGCTGCTAGCTGCGTCTCAACTGTCTTAATATCATCCAGCGACAGCTTAGTCAATGCATCTGTTATGGCCTTGGCTTCCTTTTTGAAGGTTTTTCCTAGCGCCTGCTTATTGGGCACAATCTCAGTGACTTCCACGGTCTTTGGAACTGCCAAACGCTTCTCGGCCACCAGGCGTACGCCGGTGGCGGCCGTGTGCTGGCCGAGATCATAGGCTGATCGATCGGCACAGCCGACGCACTCCACCCAGCCATATGAGGTGAGAATCTCTGCGTCCCAGCAATCGCAAGCATAGTGCGCCATTTCATTGCCCATATGCTGACGGAAGCGCAGGCACTCAGGCTTGATGCCAATTGCATGAAGGAACTGCTGGATCCGCGCCATGTAATAGCCCAATGTTTCGTTGGCCACCAGTTTACTGGACACTGCTTCGCCAATGGTTAATGCCTGGGCTGATTTTCCGTCCATCTGGTTGCATGCTGAATACAGTGTTAGCTTCTCGTTGGCTACCCGCTTGAACTTCGGATGATCCTTGTGCACGGGATCGCAGAAGTGCTCAATCTCCGCCATCGTGAACTCGCGCACTCGTATCAGGCCAGACCGCGGCGAAATCTCGTTGCGAAATGAGTTGCCGATCTGGGCCACAGCAAAGGGAAGCTTGCCCTGGTTGAACTCGAGAAGTCGTTTGAAGTTCACAAATATGCCCTGGGCAGTCTCCGGGCGGAGGAATCCTTTCACCAGACCAGTGGGTCCAATTTGAGTGGCAAACATTAGATTAAATTCGATTGGAGGCGTTAAATCGTTGCCCGTCAATGGTGACTTTATGTTGTACTTAGCTAACACGTCCGCGAGCTCCTGTTTGCTTAGGCCATCCAGTTTAATAATAATGTCCTCGCACTCAGCCCGCAGCTCTGCGGTTGCGTCCTTGGCTGCGGACAACTTTTCGAGTGCTTGCTTGATGAGATGGTCCAGGCGGAAGCATTCGCCTGTCTTGACATCCTTCACCATCAGATCGGCAAACCGTTCCACATGTCCAGAGGCCTTGAGGACTGGCTCTGGCGTCAATATCGAGCAGTCCACTTCCAACATTTGCTCCTCTAAGCTAAAGAATTGTCGCCACAGAGCTAATATGTTGGATTTGAGTGCGCATCCCATTGGTCCAAAGTCGTATTGGCCAGTTATACCGCCGTATATGGCAAAGGATTGATCGTAAAAGAAGCGTCGCTTCAGGAGATCTTCCATTTTCGCGCGATCAAAGCTCACAACACTTGGCGTCAGCGCCAATTCCTTCTCCTCTAGAACTTTCTTACGAATTTTCAGCTCGGCTACGGCCTTCTTGACGTCCAGTTCGGGTGCTCCCTTTGCCTTCAGTTCGCGGACCAGGTTGCCTTGCTCCTGCACTCGCTCTCGCAGCGGTGCCAGCTGCGTTTCTATCTCAGGATTCGACATGATGAAATCAGTTGCTACTCGCAACTGGACACTCCGCTTTGGTTTCTTGCTGCCCCACGATTGTGCTGAGCAGGTGTGGGAGGTTGTGCAGAAAAATGCTTTCAGTTGTGCTTTGTTGGCAAAGGTCTCTCGTTCACGCTTGCTTTCACGACAGGTCCACGTTTTTACGAGCGCGCTGTTTCGTTGCAAATTTGATAAAATTCCACTAGCGCTGCGTAAGCGTGTGTGCGCTTTTAAAAACTGTAATGACATATGTTATTTTGTATGCGGCCAACGCTAAAATTTATGTAATTTTTATTCACGGTTTCGAAATTCATGCATACCTTCAGCTACCCCTTGAGTGATTCACAATAGAAATGATTGTGATGTGCAACACTGCAGCGAAAAGTTGCTGCAGACTGGCCTATCGTAACGTGTGTGAGCCTCATGTATAACATACATTTCATCATAGCAGCTTATTTATCCAAAGGACTGAATAGAATGTTAATTGTTTTTGTTAACCACAGTCAGTTAATATTAAAGAGAATTCATAATTTATTGTTTGAATCAATGTCAACAGTTCTGTCCAACACTGATTCACCTATCGAACACTTTAGTTGATACGTTTTGTGTGCAGCTGTTGGCATATCGATACATCGATGAATGTGTCAAAATTCATTTTGTTCTTTACTGCTCAGAAGCATTTTTTCTGCATGTTTATTTTTAAAGTATAATTTTGCTGGATTCGTTTTTATTTAAGGAAACGAACAACGTTTATTCTTCATTTCTTCTAATTTATATAATATTACCGGAAAGTATTTAATTGTAAAAGGACCTATGATTTACTCGGCTTAAAGCGTTTGTGATCAATGAAAGGTGACGACGCCGTCTCAACTACGACATCGACGACTGTGCCACCGCATTTCTTCGTAACGTAAATCTTGAAGAGAGCAGCTCTACTTGGAACAAGGTGTTTACCTAAGGTATTTGTTATTTACAACGCCGATTTAAATATGTGGCTTCGATTTCATGTGAGTGTTCTTATTGCAGTCTGGCGCTTTGTTTGTTTGGTAAACATCTTCAAATTGGGGCAGTGCACGGCAGGCTGTAGGTGAGTGTAATACTACATAAAAATCCCCACACGCACACACACATACATATGAACGAACGCTTTGCATGTTATTTGTTTGTATTGTATTTTGTTATTTAATTGAATGAGGGAATTTTAAGTGTAGTTCTTGTCAATCTCGGTTAATGTTCGCCTTGTTGTCCTGTACAGTTAACATTTCTCGCCTACATAAACCACACTTTTTAGAAGTTACACAGGTGTTTGAAGTAACATTAGACCGGTCGACTGATATATGTATATACATATGTATATACACATACACAACTGTCTACTGTGGTGGTTGTGGTGCAGCGGTGGTGTGGTGGTGTGGTGGTGTGGAGTCAGCAGGCAGCTGCTGCTGTGCGTTTTACTCTCGTACAAAGTCTAATCAGGTAGTGCACGTCTCTAACAAACAAGCAAACATACGCCCCAGATTAAAACATTGCTAACCCTCAACTAAAACCAAATATACAAGAGGCTTACACCTGAAGACTGTTTATGTCTTTCTAGGATATACCACATGCACCGCTCACCTCTCACCTCTCACCGCTCACTGCAACCACTGCAACCACTGGTAGTCCAACCAAACGAACAGACCAAAACGAAACTGTAAATGAAAGCCGAACTCGACAGCAGCAACAACAAAAGTAACAACTGGCGATGCAATTAAAAGCGCCAAAGAGCAGGAATATGGCCAGTCTCAATGATGATGAACCAGCAACCAACAACCGGCGAAACAACAACAACAGCAGCAGCAACTACAATAACAACAATAGCAACATCAACAATAATAATAATAGTTCGAGCATTAATCCCAGCCCGAGCACCAATATCAATAATAATAATGATATTGAAGATGCGACAAGCAAACGGGAGTCATTGGAGGCACGCAAACAAAATTTAGAGCAGCGTTTGAACGAAAAGAGTTGGCTGTTGCAACAAATACAAAAGCAGGAGGCCGCAATTATGCATGGCAACTATGAACAGTTGACGATCAATGAATTTTTCGCCCAACTGGCGCAGCAGTATAAGCATGAGCAGCAATTGCAGGCATTGGCTAAGGATAGCGGCGCTCTGCTGCGACGTAAACAGAGCACGAGCAGCCGGAGTGAGGGCCAGCCGAGTAGCAGTCAAACTTATAGCACCAACAGCAACAACAATCGCCAATCGCACTCGGAAACACACTCTAATCGCAGCTCGGAGTATGATAACTATCAGCCGGCAGGCTTCAATGGTGATATGCTGGTCATAGGCGTTGCTCAGCATCAGTCGCAGCAGCATCCGCACGTAAAAAGCGCACTGAAGAAGCGTCCGACACCCACACCTACTGCTCAGATACAAATGCAATATATTGCACAACGACAGCTGCAGCAACAGATACCTCAGCAGCAGCAGCAAAACATACCCCAGCAGCCGCAGCAGCAAATACCACAGCAACTGCATCACCATATGGATGGCTTTTCCCCCCAGCATGGCAGTTATCTGCAGCAGCAGCAACTGCAACAGCCAAAGCAACGGGTTCAGGGCCAAAAAGACGTTATATCTATGTATTCGGCCAACTCGTCCAATGTGGCCACCTTGCGGCAGCAGCATGTGGCGCCGCAGCAACAGCCCATTATCGTGCAGTGCGACAAGTATTATTTGTCGCCGACGCATCAGAGCTACAGTGAGGGCGGCTTCATCAAGTCGAGTCAGAATATAAAGAAGTATGTGTCGCCGCTCGCCTCGCCGAGTGCCATTAGCTACGAGCAGAGCTCGTTGCATCATCATCGCCAGCTTGATGCCATCTCTTTGGCGCCCAGCTATATGTCTGTAGAGGTGGAGAGCGTGGAGAGGCTGGACAGGGTACAGCAACAACAACAACAGCAGCAGCAGCAGCAGCAGCAGTATCGCTGGCGTTCACAATCCCACATTGCAGCACTGACCCCACCCCATCCGCATCCCAATCAGAGCATAGCTGCTGCGCTTGCTGCCGAGCCAAAGTCGCATTCCAGCGATATGTTAGCAGCGCCGCTACCGTGTTATGCCAGCAAGTCGAAGCCCCTGGATGAGATATCGCTGTGTTCAACGACGACGATAGAAAAGAAAGTCAAGCCTAAGCAGTGGCTGGAATCATCGCTCGACGGGCCAGCAGTCCTGCGTCAAATGGATTCCACAGCGCACAGCCCCGTCAGCAGTATTGGCAGCGGAGCCGCCGGCGCTGCTGCGGCCGTCAGTAAACATCGAACGAAATTGTCCTCACAGTCCATGTCGGTCTCTGGCCGCCACTATTCCATGTCGGCTCAGCGAGGGGTCCACAACTATGCGCCCAATAACTATCCGTCTGTTGGCAGCTCCAAGGCTCTGCATGTGGATGAAAGATTTGCAAAGCTGAGTCAGTCCACTTCCTATCTGAATGCCATGGACCAGACAGTGAGCATATCAGCATCCTATACACTTGAACCACTCGAAATACCGCCATTCAGGCATCTGCCGCCCAAGCCAAATCAAAATCAACAGCCTTCGCCGCCGCCCAGGCCACCTCCAGTTGGCAACAACAACAACTACAACAATAACAATAATAATAGTAGTAGCAACAGTGGAAATGCTTTGCAGAGTTCCCTGGCATCGCCGCCCGCTGCTGCTGCTACTGGCACAGCTGCTCCTAGCCTGTCCCCCGAGATTCGTATTGAGTCCCCCATAAATATGACTGTGGTGCAGCAGGCCACGTTTCAACCATACAAGGAGGTCATCAAGCCCTTCGAAATGTCCGACTTTTACAAGTACTCGACCAAGTTTAAGCAGAAAGATGGCGGCCGACCTGAATGAGAAGAACATTTCTGCTTTTCTAATTGGGATATTTTTATAGTATTTTGTTATTATTTTATGTTATAAGACATATTTAATATCTTTTCGACTGACAGTACCAAGTGGAAATTCTGGCTTTCGTTTGCGGTTAGCGTAAATTTATCGAGTTAGAACTTTGACTGAAGAACATAAACATTCAAATACAAATCAATATGTTGAAAATGATTGAGATGACTATTCAAGAAAAGACGAATGGAATGGTACCTATATTAAAACCCGATTGACAATATGAAACGAACAAATTTGTATATTGACTCTACGCCTTCGTAAATAGCCTTTTGCAAAAGTTTTTTAATCTATAAATATATACTATATATACTGATATTGTATTTACAAAATTGTTATAAATTTACTGTACAAAATTATTTGTACGCTGACTTGAATATACACTAATCTTTATACATATGGTCTTGTCTTTCTACATAGTAAATCATCATAAGTGATTATCTGATAGTTAATTGATCTTGACTCAAGTCCCTTTAGACATGAGGATTGTTGGAAATTCCATTGGGTATACACATACCTTGAACTCATGGAAAATGGGAAGCAAGGATTTAAGGCTTTGTGAAAAGTATAACAGACAGAAGAGATCATCGCGAAGAAGAGATCAGACCCCATAAAGGATATATATTCTTGATTAGCACGACGAGCTGAGTCGATATAACCCTGTCCGTCTGTCCGCCCGTCCGTATGTATATATGACCGCGTCGATCTCAGAAGATATTAGAGCTAGAAATCGAAATTACGCTCATATATACACGCATTTGAATGTTATAAAAACGACCTATGAGTTTCATAGCTCATCAATAATAAAAGTTATAAGGTGTTTAAATTCCCATACTAAGCCCGAGGGGCTCACTGGATTTCGTAGTCGAGCAGTCTCGATTAGAGCTTTCTTACTTGTTTCATAAAAAATGCATTTTCCGATATGCCATAAATTTGATTACCTGAAGAGCTAGACGGCTGAAATATAGCGTTTTTCAAATTCTACTATATTTTAGGCATATCCTACAGTTTAAGAACTAGAGGCTTCAAATTTGGTGACCCAAAAATATTTGTTTCGCCTTTTTAGGGGCGTGGCATTTCGAAAAATACTCTACTTTGAACATAAGCATCTAAATTATGCAGTTACGTTACGCCCATATTCCTACTGAAGTTATTCAACAGAACATTTCTTGGGTGTTAAATTTTTTGGGCAACTTGATATAGCTTTACTACCAATTCTGATATACACAGATTCCAAAGTTTGTTTATTTCTTTCGTATTTACTTTGTATACCTGTGGGACTATGTATATGTATATGTTCGTCTGTGGGAAAGACGCGCGTACACATAGATTGAGCTAGTGCTTTTATATACGGAAGAAATTTTGCTCTGCTCGAGTGAGCATTACGTTGGGGTCGATTCTCTTTCGAAATATCACAAACCAAAAATAAAATAACCGTTCTCTTAGCATGGGCCAGATCGGTTCAGTTGCATTGCATGCGCCGCGTAACGCGCTGCTGTTCTGATCAGTTGCACTTTGCTTTAGTGGACGTTCTGGTGCTGGAGTACATATTATTTCAGAGGAGCCGGAAGAGCAACGCGAATATGATCTAACGTATCGCGTCTTCAGTTATCGTCGTCGTCTTTGTCTTCTGTGTATTAGTTTCATAGTTTCGTCAAAAGTCAATTGTAAAGTCGCACTGTGTTCAACATTTTACGTAAATCCGTTTCCTACATAACCTCGCCGTTCTCGAAGTGAAGTGAAATTAACCAGAAATAGATAAACAGAACTTGGAGTTTTCGACTCCATTTTCATTTCAAAATGGAGCACCAATAACTGAACCAAGACAGCCTCTACCTTTCTCGAACACTTTTGGCGGCCAAGTGTGACCCAATATAGTGGACAGTGATAATGAAGTGAAATTCGGGCAACATGAATCTATACACCATATACGATTGGGTACGTAACATATAGCATGAATGCAGAGAGTGCGCTAGTACCAAACTAATTTTGTGATCGAAACCTTTAGAGCCGCAATATTAACTGAACTGAGTCAAATTAATTTATTCTTTCACATAAAATATCTTTGATTTCAATATTAATAAGTAAGAAGACTCTAGTCGAGACTGCCTGACTAGGAGATACCCTGAACCCTCCAGTCTGATAATCTAGCGACTGCGCTTGGGCTGCGCTGCAGCGTAGGCAATATTAAACGAATTTATTTGTTGAATAATTTAATTTCTAGACGTCCAATCTAAATGAAACTTTCAGAACTTGATCATAATGTTCAAATTTATGTACATTTCAAAGCAGAAGTATCAACTAATTGAAATACGCCTTTTACAAATGTGATGGTGAGGGGGTGTATTTAGAGGTGGGGGGTAAATTTTAACAAAAACCGAAATTATATAAAATACACATAATTCTACATTTAAAATTTGGAAGCTCCAGCACTAAAGATGTAGTAGATATAATTGAATAACCAGCTTTCGATTAGGTTTTTAATCGATAATAATCTATCGGGAATAGTGATCGATTTTTAGTGATAAACTTGATGAAGAATATATTTACCTTGCCTTACCACGCCTCTTTCTGCCTGTTACATTACCATTACAAAACCATTATACCCTGATTTCCGATTTTCAATGGGTTCAGGGTATAAAAACAAGTATGAAACCTCTAGTCGAGACTGCTCGACTACGAAATCCGCTGAACCCTTCAAAGAATTGATCACTATGATTCTTCGCGTCTTTTTGCTTCTACTCACACACAGAAAAACATAGGGATGCAAGCAACTATGGAAACTTAACTGCTTAATAACTTTTCTTGTTGATGGACTATGCTTATGAAACTTGTGATGTGTAGATCGTGATTATAACATTAATGTCTAGTATTTGAAATACGCTTTTTACAAAGGTGGTGGTGAAGGGGTGGAAGCAGGGGTGAAGAGTACATTACAACAAAAATCGGAAGCTCTAACTCTAAAGGTGTAGGATATATAATAAAAAAACTAGCTTTCGATAATAAAATATTGGGATTAATTATCGATTTTTAAAGAAAAACTCAATATGTGAGTGTTATACGAGTGGATAGTTAAGTTCCTATTAATCTCATATATCGATGACCCATTATTATTTAAGCCTCTTTAGGGGCGTGGCTTATTGAAAAATACCCTGTAATCTGTAGGCATCAAAATTTTGAAGTTAGATTACCGTTAGCTCATTCTTCAAACTGACCAAAAATGAGGTGGGGGCGTAGGTAGGGGCGTGGCGAATCGTATTAGAGCTCAACTTAGCTTTTAAATTTCTGATGTAAAGTATTCCGCAGTCAGTAACGCCCTACTGCCACGTCCCTACATGTTTATGGTTGTCGCTTTCATAATTGGCTTTTAAATAAATAAAATTAATTTTTCAATCCATATAAACAAATGAAATAAATTTCCTATGCAATATGTACGCTGTAAACATTTTTATAACTTTGGCATTGCACTTTGTTTCTTTCTTACCAGCATTTTCTTCGCTCCTACGCACACAAGCACGGATACTGATCACTGATAAATGCATACATATATACATTTCTAGCACCGTGTTTTAATGCTTGAAAGTTTTGTCATGCCGGACTGAATAATGTAAAAAATATTGTCGGTATAAGCGGATTGTCGTTAAAATCGGAAACGTACTACTCGGGGCCTCTTTCAAATAAGTTTGTATGGGGACTAATCGAGACATCGAATTTTCGTTGCGATAGGCGGACGGAAACTATAAGCGGAGTCGTTTAGCCGGATTCCACTGTACAAATTTGGTCGATGTTCAGCATTTCGAATAAAGCCAAAACCTGGCTGCTCAGATATTGGGAAATAGAAATGCTACGTATCCGTGTGCTTAAATGAAGTCGAAATAAATATGTTAAATGGGCCCTTTGACCTTTCACTGCACGAAGCAGCTCAAGGCTTCAAAATAAACATTCAAATTCAGCGCGTTATCAACTGGCAGCTGGCATTTGGTCGCAGATAGTCGGCAGCATGTTGATGGTGCTGTTCTCTCCATTTCATTCTTGCTCTCGCTCTCGCTCTCGCTCTCGCTGAACTCTGCCCGCCAACATGTTGCCTACAGAGCGGCTACTTACGTTCCACATGTTTGTTTATAAATAAAAGAAATGTGAGCGCATTCGGTGCACGGAACCGCTTCTAGTCGGTGCAAATTTTGTTCGCGCTCATTTGTGCCTGCCTTCTGGCTCTCTGCCTCTAGTGATTTCTGTAGATTGACTGTCTCTGACAGAGTGCCTGAACTGAATTGAATTGGGAATCGAGCCGGCGCCGACGTTGACGCCGTCGTAGTCTTAGTATTTCTTTCTTATTTATAAAAGCACCTGCATTGCAGACGGTCGTCGTAGTCGGGAGTTCCTATCGTCGAACGTGTCGAACGTATCGAAAGTTGTAACAAAAGCAAAAATGGATAAATTGTATGTGTATCTGCAATAATAGAAGCAAAGTGACAATAAAGTTTTACTGCGCGTCTAACTAAATTAAGTTGAGCACTTCGGTCAATGCGAGCATGAGTAAATTACAAGTGAGTAAAGTCGTACTTTGAATCCTTTAGTGGCTTGGAATGATATCAGATCAGAGTGGAGCTTGAGCCAAATGTGTGTCACACCCCAATAACTGAAATTAAAAGCCGCCTTTTTGACTACCGCAACTGCGAAGCGGAACCCAATTTGGCCCATAGAAATATTCGCGTAGGAGCAGGACGAAATTGGGTTCGACACGCACGTATAAGAAAAAGAAAAGTTTTTTATCAGGAACACATGTAACCATGGTGATGGCGAAAACTGTTATCCCGATACGGTTATGGGAGTCAAATTAATTTGCACAATGTTGACAAGTTCAAGGACGTTCAAGTTGACGTCTCGCAGCTCGTTAAAGGCGTTTGTAAAATTTCAGCAATTAGGTCACCGCTCAAAACTGTCCGAAGCAAAAGCTTTGGGCGCAACGATCTGAATTAATGCCGAACACACATTTAAATTTGAATCTAATTGGATCTCCAGCCCCACGATGCTTGTTTCTGATTACCTCACCTACATCTATGAAGTGGACAGGCGGTTTAATTAGTGCCCACATATTCATATATTCAAAAAACAAAAATAACTTTAATAAGTTGCATGCGATAGCTCGTC